TGGAGCAAACCACATAAAGTTAACTAGACTCATCGCCAGTACACTTGAGGTGTATATAACTCTTCCGTGTGCAGTGAGGGAGTTGTGTGCTTTCTTAGCAAAGAATATGAATCACATTTGTTATGAATCCAAGTGGAATAGTCTTTGCATTGATGGATATGCTCATATTCGTCTTTCTGCATCATCAACTGTGGTGAGTGCATCAACTCCTGATTGACGACAAAATATCTTAACAGTTTGTTTCCTAGTGTTGTTGGTCCCCTTGCACAATAAATGTATTTTTCTTTGGAATATTTATTTAGCCTAGGTTGGCCTGAATGAATTGATGTATACAAAAGTGACATTATGAATATTGTTGCGTCAACGAGTCACATGACTACTGTGACGCAACGTTTCTAGAACTATCATGTACTTTGGCGAATGCTCTAGTATTTGCTAGATAGGGTAGGCTGGTATATAAAAGAAGGGTAATGTAATGTGTGCGTAGATAGTGAGTAATTGATCTGCAGTCAGAAGTAGTATTGAGCACGTTCGTTGTTATAGCGTTTGTTTAGCGCGATTGTTGAAGTTGAGTGTATCGGTAAAGTTATATTCGAAAAGAATAAACCAGTTTTTATTAAGAAAGAACTTGTGTCGCTTAAGTTTCGTCGGAACGAAGTTACGGAAAAATTAATTAACAACCGGAGACGTAACAATATTAAACCAGGCTTTAATAATTCCTAGCTAAAACGTCTTAGTCTTATATAATTCAGGTGGTATTTATTAATTTTGTGATGCTGTAGGAACTCGTTTAATGTAATAGCTCATAGAAGACAGTATGTTAAGGCACTGTGTTTATCCAGACACAGCTAAAGGAGGTAAACCGGGTTGACTGCCTCTGGGAAGTGGGCTGAGAGAGACTGCCCAGTCGCCTTTGTCCCAGTTCTGACTTTTCATATCTCTCCAGGAAAGCATCCATGTCATCTTTATGTTCATCAAATTTGGGCAGCTTGGGTCGGCTAGCCCTGACTCCATTGTCATTCTTGTGTCCTTCAGTTGGGTGAGTTTTTCTATCTCAGTTTGTGCTCTTTTTCTCTCTATTTCTAGTCTCTCCCCTCTCTCTTTTTCTTCTTTCTCAATTTGTATTGTCATTCTCTCTATTTGTAGTTTCTCCTTTCTCTCATTTTCTTCTTTTAGTCTTTCTTTCTCAATTTGTTTCTTCTGTTGCCGTTCTTTTCTTTCCAGTTCTTGTTGTTGTTTAACAAACTCTCGTAATTCACTGTCTTTTAGCCTAAGTTGAGATCCTCTTACTACCCATTTATCAAAATCTGTTGACATGGTTATATAGCGTAATTTTAATCTCAATACTACTACAGTTGTACGTATATGGATAGGCCTACTTATTTCCGCTGTCGTTCATGTTTTATTCTATCACCGTTTGACACTGTATGATCCTGGCTGTGGCTCGCCAATTGTCAGATTTTAAAAATAATATATATATATATATATATAAGTTCTTCTTTTCCCTATTGTCGAGATAAATAGCTTTTACTTATATTTCTTAATAGTATAAGTATATATATACTATGTTGTTGTTGTTGGGCTTAGGATTCTTCTTGTTCTACAGATGTCCGTGACTTGTTAGCGATAAATTCAACAATGAATAAACAGCACACACTTTACTTGTTTTCAAATAATATATATGTATTCGGAACAAGTTAAACATATTGTTGCGTCAGCGAGGTCACGTGACTAGTGTCACGCCACCTGCTTTCTAGAAATATCCTGTTCCTTCGTGAATGCCCTAGCATTTACTAGATTGGGGGTGGTTTGGTATATATAAGATGGTCACGGCGTGACGTGACAATGTGTGTAGGTAATGAGTAATTCAACTGCAGTCAGAGAGAGAGACGTATTGTTGAAGTCGAGCTCGTGAGACGTGAATTATAGTTTCTTATAGCGCGACTGTTAAATTGAGTGTATCGTAAAGTTGTATTCGGAAAGAATAAACCAGTTTTATTTAAGAGAGGACTTGTGTCGCTAAAGTTTCGTCGGAACGAATTTACGGAAAATCCATTAACAAACGGAGACGTAACAATATGTACAACAAAGTCTTCACACTATAGAGATTACAGCCATATCATAAACACTATATATACATAGTTATCTTCTTCTTATTAAAAGTCCACTTAGGCCTATTCAATTACTTTAGAATTTCAGTTTACAAGCTTGTCATGATATTGTTACGACAGCGGAAGTCACGTAACTCTGCTGATGAGTTTCTGGAATGATCGGGGAAGTTTGAGTGTGTTCGAGATGCCCTTTTCCTTAGTATATAAGCCTGGCAGGGAAAGCCTGCGGGGGATATATGAGTGAAAAGAGAGCAGTAGTTACTTTGAT